ATTTGTTAATGGCAGTGACTAATTTGAAATTCATGTAATACTTGTGGAGTAACTTAGAGCGCTTTGTGGCTAGCTTAGCTGAAAACAGTGCCCACAAGCATTGTTGGCTAGCTAGGCAGCTATCATGAAACTATGCCAGCCAGCATTACATACAGTAGTGTTAATAAATCTATTCTTTTGCCAACAGGTATTCAAAAACAAAGTTTCTTAGTAATAGTCAATCTACAGTTTGCCATTTGACATCACAACAGACTGCAAAAGACTATTTTTGTGCTAGCATTTAGACTGTTATGTTAGCTTTTCAAAGTTTAACCAAGTAAATTGAAGTTTTATAAAAAGTTTTAGATCTTGTCATTTTTTCCACAATAGATGAATCCTTTGTCTATAAATGTAATCAAATTTGAGACAATTTCTTGTTCACAATTAGTGGAAATGTGTGCGGCATTAGTGAAAACCAGGAGGTAATTAGCTTCATCTCAATCAAAAAATTTAAGAACCCAACCAAATATAGACTGTTGGGACAGAAGTACTGGGCAACCTAGACATTACACCTTGTGTGTGGTCAATTACTTTTGCCCATATTCGAGTGGTTTCGAACAAGTGAAACCTCTTAAAATCTCATTTGTATTGCACTAACAATGCTACTTTTTGGTATCATTAGATTTATTTTGGGGCTCCATGTGTTTACCCAAACACTAACAGATTTAACAGAAAAAAATCAACTCTTTACTCAAGAACAAAAAGAAATACAATACTTTCTCTCCAATATCCATCATGAGTTTCAGTTTCTAAAATAAGACAGCAATATTCCCAACACTTTTCTTGAAGGTGAAGGCCACAGAATAAAATTCTTTTGGACACACACTTCATCATTAGCAGCTTTCAAAAGAAAAAAAAAAGAGAGAGAGAGAGGCCTAACTTAGTAATCCCATGAGCACTCTCTGAAGTGCCACTCTCACAGTTTGCTATGTGGCAACCTTGGGTGCAATGCAGAATGCACAGTCACCGTGGTGTCTAGGCACCCACTTAATCACTGACAAACCTTCATTTAAGGACAAGGACAGGTCCACCTTTGCCTAATCTAATACAAGCCTTTGGCTGCTAGCCTTAGTAAATTAGAATTTGGCTAATCAAAATACATAGAGTCAACCTGCCTGGAATACAGGACTCCTGCACACTGTGCAACATTTCCCTTTTCATTTCTAACAATCATAGCTTTACTGCCGTTTCACTGTAAAACACTTTTTTAAAAAAACAGCCTGTTTAATTCATTTTTCACAATTTAGGTAATCTCTGGGATAATAAATGTCCATATCTGATACATTTCCTCTTTACAACTCATTGAAGTCTTGTTCTGATGTCACAGATGGGCTTTATCTTTGCAGCTGGATTGAAGGAAGACTAGTTCACAAAAACAAACAAAGGAGGATTAACAAGTCAATTTAGAGTTTTATACCCAAATTCCTCTGGTTACTGTGTCCTCCACTTTATACTATATTTGATACAACGTGCAAGTGTTATAAAAGAAATATATTCTTAGCACAAATACACTATTTTGAGCTTTAAATATCATCAAATCATTTCAAATATGAGCAGTATGATGAATTTTGATTTCCTATCCTATGCATGCTTAGAAGCCTTTATTTAGAGCCGGTTTCTTGGTCTGATTCCACACAGGTACACTTTTGATGTCCCTTTTCTCTTTAAATTTCAATTCAGAGGACTGAACATTGCCAAGGACACATTTAGTCAATAACTGCATTTTGATAATTTCCCATATTAAGGCAAGGAAGTATTTTAAGGAAAGGAAGGATCAAGGAAACTGCTACTATATCTGTATCTCCACTAGATTGAAGGATAAAGTGCACTAAAAGTTTTTCTCGTAATTGAATTTGGCAAATCCGTCCTTCCCTTATGTTTTCTCATGCAATGAAAAAGAATACTCACATATTAAGTCCCTTCAACAGAGGCAAAGTGGAAATACCTAAGAGTAATTTCTCTTGATAATGGAAGTGAGCAAACCAGTCAGAAACCGCCTGCACTGATTGCACCCTCAAGGAAGAGTCACGGATACTTGTTAAACAGTGGGACAGTATTAAAGAGACTGACCAGAATGCAGAAACACCAGCAGATTGACGCATAACACAGAGTCATTCTCGGTGTGCCACATGCCACAACACAAGCAAGTAAAGTTATTCAGGGAAACAAAACTAAGGTCAGTCTCTGGGCTGACACCTGTGCAACTTACTAACCACAAACTCAGACCAACACTGAACAAAAAACCCTTAAAAAAACCTAAAAGGAATTTAATGCTGGAATTTACTTCAATTTATAGATATCTGCTACCCATTTTCACCTTGTATCTGGAAACACAAAACAAAAGTGCATAAATCAGTAGTATAAACTACTATACTTCCTCCTTTACCGTCAGCTACTGTCACTATCCATAACGCAAAAACATTCAAATCCCTCCATATGTAAGGCAAACACACAACCTCTAACCACGGTATCTCAATGTTGTTTCTTGGGCTAGTGCTTCTTAAAACAGGGAAGTGGGAAAAATCTCAATTTTGAGCTTTTACATGCTTCTCCGATGATAACGAGACACATACTATGAACATTAATGTACATCTAAGGGTTGGAGTGCAGTTTACCGAGTTGCCACAAGAGAGCAACAGCACTAAACAATCAGCCTACCGGATTAAATCTTAACTGGCATGTTTTATATATGTCTATATGTCTTATTATGTCTTTAGATTCTTCTGCACATTAATCAAGGAGTTTTATTCACTGTATGGTCACGAATGACAATAAAGTTTCATTTGACTTTGACAGTGTTGGCCATTACCTCCTCACAGTGCTCCAAATGTCTCATTTTTAGCTCACTTCCAATCCTGGAGTTCACTGTAATCACAGCCAGAATATTGTTCAGTTACATTAAATTCAAGAACTCTACACTTTTAAATCATTTAAAGGGCAGTCTCAAACAGGACTCTGTACAAAAGCAGCAAACCAAAATACAAAACAGGTATCGGACACATGAAGAAAAACACAAAGTGTACCATTATTAAATTACGTCTGACGTGGCCCTAACGGTTTAACCGTGGAAATTGAAGAAATACATAGGGGGTGAGCTTAGACATAAGACTACATGAAGGTGCTTAATTTTTTTTTTTAAAATATAAAACAGCTTATTACATTTACAAAAGCATGTCCACAAATTCCAACTTTCCGTAGTACCAGCCAGGACACATTTTGGGGCACATTCAACTGACTCTCCGAATGTAAACATGAGGAATAAATCACAAGGAAGAAGCACATCTTAACAATATTTACAGGTTAATGCCATACTACACTTAGGCTATAAGTAGATAAAGTGAGCGGGAGCAGAATGATAGTGCGTATTCAGAGACCGATATGAATACAAAATCGACTGAAGTGTCAAACAAGAGTTCTTATTTTAATTTTCAAATAGGAGTTACATGAAGTGATTGGCACCACTCTTAAATTGATTTGATATAAAACCGAGGATAGTGACACTCTCCCAGTCAGGAAAACCAAAAACTAGCCTGCTAACTTAACCTTTGGGGAAAACTGACAGTATTTTGACGCTTCCAGCACATCTAGGCGACGGCTTCCTAAAGGCTGACTAAATGATAAAAGACAAAGGTTCTGAAACTGCATTTTGGCATACGCTTTCTTTCTTGGGAATTGGTGACTACTGGAAGAAAACCAGAATGATACTGGTACCAAAAGCCTTGTCACTTGCCTACAGATTCTGCATTTTCTGTGCAAATACTTTAACGAGCCACTTCTTTAGTTACACCTTGCTAGTTGTAGTTGGACCCCATTTGCCTTCAGAACCGCCCTAATTCTTCATGGCACAGATTCAACATTGACATGACAGCATCACACAGTTGCTGGAGATTTGTTTGCTCTACATCCATGGCATGAGTCTCTTGTTGCACCACACCCCAAACGTGTTCTATTGGACCTCTGTTAAGATATGGTGACTGTGGATTTGACTACAGTAAACTCAATGTCACGTTAAAGGAACCAGTCTGAGATCATTCAAACCAGCATGTTATTCTGCTGGAAGCAATGGACATGCTTAGAAGCAATACTCAGGTAGGGTGTGGTGTTTAAATAATGCTCAGTTCCTACTAAGGAGCCTAAAGTGTGCCAAAAAAATATCCACCATCCCATTACATCACCAGCACCAAAGGTAGAATGGATCCATGCTTTCATGTTCCTTATCCCTAATTCTTCCCTGCTATCCAAATGGCAAAGGTGAGCCCGTGCATCCACAATTTCCCAGTCTTAGCTGACAGGAGTGCCACCCAGTGTGGTCTTCTGCTGCTAATATGTTAAAGATGCTCTTCTGCACAACTTGTTAGCAGCAAGTGCTTATTTGAGTGCTATCTGCTCGAATTGCTGCTCACTTGATATTTTTATGTTATAGTCTTTTTCAGACTGAAATACTATGACCAGTCTGTCTGAATCCAACAACCATACCATGTTCAAAGTCACTCAAATCAGCTTTGTGATGCTCAGTTTGAACTTGAGCATGTTGTCTTGACCATGTCTACATGCCATGTGACGGGCTGATTAGCTCTTTGCATGAATGACCAATTTACTGGTGTAGCTAATGAAGCGGCCAGTGAAATTCAACGCAAAAATCACAAGTAAAATATCTTAAATTTGTACAAAAAAATTACAATTTCTGGTCACTATGGTGTGCAGGTTAAGAAATAGTCAAGATATTTGAGTGGTACCAATTTTCTTGTTCAGCTCTCAACGAGAACACAAATAAAGATAATTCCAACCTATTCCTTTAAGCAGTTTATACGGATCATGATTTTTTTTTTCCAGATCTACTATGGTTATGACACACAATAGCCAAAAGTGTACACAGAGCCAAAGCCTTTTTTTCAGGGGTATTACGTTGTGCTTCCCCAGTTTTAATTAGCTGCTACACATTACTGTTTTAACAAAAATAAATCACTCTGTTATAATATAATTCAACACTAAGAGCTCATTTTAGTGGCAACGTCTGATGCGCCAAAAATGTATCTCTGCCAGTACTCTTTAAGAATTTTAATTGTTAGATTATAATTTAGTATTTATCACTTCACAACACGGATTACATCAGATTGCAATGAAATGTGGCCATTTGATTTGGCTAGGTAAGCACGTTTTTGTGAACATTGCTCTCCCTACACTCATCTAACACACAGTGTTTAGTTGGGAAAATAAGCAGTAAATAACAATAGCAGTAACACTGAATTTCATCCTACACGTATATTGTAGGTCAGAGTACATCAGGTTTTACTAACAAGTCACAGAAAAGTGCCATAACATCTCATAGCCAGATCTCGCAGGAGACGATGCACGCCTGCTTAATGTAAGCCAAAAAAAGCAAAAAACTAAAAAAAGATTAGAGTCGACAAATTACTCCGTCTCCTGACTCGGGAAAGCTCGCATGTTGATTAGCTAAACGTTGATCTGAAGATTGTTATCTCAAGTCTCTGCCTCACATCTCAAACACGCACACACACCATCACGAACGCCACACGCTGCATTGCACGGCCGACTTCTCCTTAAGTCCTTAGAAAAAAATGAAAAGAAATGACGTAACGTGCCACGAATTACACACTATTCACAATAATAAAAACGAAGACGGTTAGGAGTACACTTTAAATATCACTGGAGTTAAATGTAAGGTGCAGGATCGATTATAAATGCTGAATTACATTACTTAACTATAGCAGGTGAGCTAACAGGATTTGGTTATTGGCAACGCCATATACATGTATACGCTCAAAGACAAATCAGCATTTGGTTATTGCTGGGTCTGACCAGAACCGCTCGCTACATCTTGGCCGAGAACAAAAAATAAATCATTTCTTCTCGTTACCACGTGGTTCTCCCTCTACCCATGATCCCAGTATGAGTGGAGATTTAGGAAGCGCTTCCTACCATTTCGTAAAAGATGCTACAATCAATACATTGTGCAAGGCTCAGGAGAGAGGCGAGTTGTCAGAAAAAAAATCCCAAATGAAACCAGGACACATCTGTGAAATGAGTTGAAAAGTAACGGTGAAACGTCCTACTGGACTCTGAGGTTATCTATTGTATTCAACAGAGTAAAAAATTATTATTTATTACTATGTGTGTGTGTTCTTTGTTCTTTTTTTTCTCCTTTTTTTTTTCTTTTTTTGACGAGGCCTCCATGTAGCATTTTTTTCTGTTCTTCCCCTCTGTGTAAATGTCACTGGGGCGCATCACTCTCTCTCTGCAGGAGTCCTCTTAAAAGCTCAAAGAAAAACAATAAAACAAAAAGTAACAAAGTGCTTTCAATGCTACAGAGATTTGTTAGTTGTTGGAGTTCATCCTACCAGCAGAAAACAGTGGAGGCGGCGGGGGTAAATGCGGGGTAGGAGGCAGCCCCCCCATGGAGTGCAGCAGGGGGAGGGACAGCTGGGTGCTGTGGAGGGGGTGGGGGCTAGAGGCAGCAGCGGGTGTAGTCACGGACGTGGCAGGGAGTGCCGTGCCCAGCTGGGCCTGACCGGAAGAGTCCGCAGCGGGTGGCGCCAAGGGCCGGTCGAGGCCCAGGGGGTCACCGTTGCCGTCGGGAACCATGGGGTTGGTGACGCGGAAGCACTTCTCCCTGTGGGCCTTGAGCATGTTTGAGAAGCGGAAACGCTGGCCGCACACCTCACACGGGTATGGCTTTTCTCCGGTGTGGGTGCGGCGGTGACGCTTCATGTTGGGCCGGCTCGTGAAGCTCTTCCCACAGATTTCACAGATGTACGGCTTTTCTCCTGCAAAACGGGAGACACAAAAGACGCCTGCTCGATACGTTTTCAACATGCATCGTTAAGTTTAATGCCACAGAATCAGTGTTTTTATATTCGCCATACATCAAATGATTCTGACGTGGAGGGCGGCTAGTTGCAGTAACTCTGCAGTTCTCCTCTGACCTTTTCAGTATCTTTCAGAACAGAGTTTTGATTTATGGCCTGTGACTTGACTGTTTTAATTCACTCTGAATGCTCTCCACCAGAATCTCTTCCAGCTGTGGCAGGCAGCTGTTTCCAGTAAAAGAACTCTAACAGTCAAATTGGTGTTACCTGCACGGCAACAAACGGATAAAAGATAAAAACAATCAAGCAGCTAAAGAGTCACGCGTTTCTCTCAGCAGTTTTGTTAAAGAGCAAAGCTGAGTTAAATCAAAAGAATACACGGAGGCCACAAAAACTCCAGCATGAACGATAATAGTGCTTCACATCTGCTGGGTGTGCAAATAAGCTTTGCAAAAACACAAAGGTGTCAGTGTTTGCAGCTCTGCAATCTTTTCTTTTTTAAATGCTCCTTTAAAATAAATGTTGCTCTGCTCTGAAGCAACATGAACACAACTAAAAGAAAGGGACTCACCAGTGTGTGTTTTCATGTGTTCATCGAAGTACTGTTTCATGTTGAAGTCCTTTCCGCACCACTGGCACATGAACTGCTTGTGTCCGATGTGGATGCTCATATGGGAGCGGAGCTGGTATTTGTACTGGAAGCGCTCGCTGCAGTTCTGAAACGGCGCACAGGAAACAGTTTTACGCAAAGTCGTTTTACAGCTGGTTGTCAAAGATGGACTCGACAGGTTGTACTTCAGTCATTGTGGAGAAAAAGCAGAACTCGTGTATGGTGTTTTCAACAAAACACACTGGGACTGACTTGAGCAAGGCTGTAAAATGTACTACTAAATCAAAACTGCCCTTTTTTTTACCTTCCTGTGAACCTATTAGACATGACGCTCAGTTTTCATTCATAAAAAAAGTTGAGATTTTTTAAAAATAGGCTTTCTTGCAAAGGGTTAAACAAGTAGATTTCAATACCACTCTCACGCCTGTATGGTGAACCTTAGACATAATCAGCAGCCAGTTGGTACCTGTATCATCAAGGACTGATCTAATCGAGTAGCATTTTCCCCATTTTCTGTCTTTATGCTCAGCCAACCTAAACGAATTTATGATGTCACTATAAGCACCCAGCGAAACGCTTCAGTATTGAATAACTACCTGCTGGTGGTCTTTTGTCACAGTCTTGTTTAAAAAAAAACCTCCCAAATTGAACTTGAACAGACATTCTTTCACTGAAATAATTTCATCTATACTTCTCACTTCTTAAGAGATGCTCTGATTAGATCTATGTGTGTTTTTTTTAAAACGATCAGTGTTTTTTAATCGAGACCGGCACATCTGGACATCTGACTCTGGTTTACTTGATCTCAACCTGTGAATTTCTCAGATTTAAATGACACTCCTAGCGCCAAAAATGTTAAATATCTTTAAATCTACCTCATCACTCAAGTAAAGTGGAGAGCTGCAGTGTATAAAAGGAGCTCAAACCTCACACTTGAAGGGTTTCTCTCCTGAGTGCTGTAGAGAGTGAACCTTCAGGGACATGCTGCGCTTGAATGATTTCCCACACGTTTCACAGGTGAATGGCATGTCCTTCGTATGGGCTAGACAAAGGCACAAACACAGAGCATGCTTAGTTTGTGTGATTCAATACTGAGCCACTCATGACTGAAATTAAACTAAAGCATTTAAGGAACAACACTGAGGTTATTTTTCACTAAATAAATGCTGAGGGCAAAGGGTCCATTTCATCTTTTTCTTCCATCTTAAGTCTGAATATGACTATCCAATCTCTCCTATACTAGAAAGTGGCTAATTAGGACCATATTATTAATAGTCCTTGGATAATAGGAACTCCTTAAATTGCAGTAGCATAGAGTGAGGTAAGCCCATCTGGGAAGTAAGATGCTTATCTCTCCAGAAAATAGAAAAGGAAAGCAACACCCAAAACAAATCCTGCCAAACAATCAGTGGGATGTGGAAAAAGGAAGCCTAAAGAAACACATGGGAACAAAGTGATCAACCGGGACAGTTGATTTTACTGTCACTCACCGACCATGTGCTTCCTGACATGGGCCATCGTGTAAAACTTCTTCTCACAGATCTCGCAGGAGAACTTCTTCTCGGCGTAGCCATGGACGATCTTGTTGTGCTCGTGCAACGACCACAGCTTCTTGAAGGCTTTGCCACAGGTCACACACTTGAAGAAACAAGACAGCAAGCATGGAATGATTACTGGAATTTACTTAGGGATGAGATATTAGAGAGATTGTGATCTGGAACAGTCTTTACAAATACAATCCAGGTGTGTGTGTGTGTTTATACAGACACTTGAGCATGCACTGTAGCAAAAAAGCAATTAGAGTCACTAGATTAAAGAAGCAAATGATCTTCAAAACCACAGCAGGAGTCCAGCTGCTCGGTGCCGAGGGGTAATAGTGGAGGTAGTGAGACATATCAGAACTGATTATTACTGACTGCCATTTGACTGAGTTACTGACTCCAACTGGTTTTAGTGATTGCAATTATGCATATATTAATTAGAAACAAAATAACAATTATGCATTAAAAGACAGTTTATTGTATTTTCTATAAAACAACTTCCTAAAATAAAACTGATGTCAGAACAGGTAGCACTGCTAGGACTTAAAGGAACAGTTCTGGTGTGAAGTGAGGGCTGTCTTACAAAAAAGACTGACAAAAATCAGGTATAATAACCACAAACAAAATTCATATTTAGTTTAACTGATTCAAACAACACATAGGTTTGGCTTCACACCTTTAGCTAAACCTTAATTTATTAAAAACAGTGTCTTTTAGGTTTGTTTTGTTTTTTTACCCATGTAGTGTTTGCAAAACATATAACTTGACAACTGTAGCTAGCACTGCCAGAAGTTTTAAGGTTAGTTATTGGTGTTACATCCTGCTTTATTTACGTGTTTAGTTTTCCAAGCTCCAATCTGATGGGCAAGCACCTTTGCTAGCTTGTTGGCTGAGCTTATATAGGTAGATTCCTTGTTTATGTGTCCTTTCCAGCCTTTCTCTCTGTCCACTCTGCAGCACCTTTGAGGTCACTTGTACCACTGTTTCATCCTATTGACTTATCTTTTCAATTAACTTTAATGTATTTGAGCTAGACCTAGCATAATAATGGGGGCTTGTCCGGGATTGGACACCCGGACTGCCCAAAACAATTCTCATAGATCTATATTATGTTAGCTGAAAGACATAGTCCCCAAGCATATACGTTATACAATGATTATGGTTTAATCGTACCTGGATGCTTTTCTCACAGTCAGTCTGTTGATGCAGCAGCAGCTCGCTCTCTAGCAAGAAGCGTTTTCCGCAGTTATTGCAGATTTGCATGCGGTTGTGAGTGACGTTCATGTGTTTTTCTAGATACCAGCGATTGTTGAAGATGCGAGGACACTTTTTACATGGGTAATGTTGCTTCTCCTCCAGCCTCACTTTTTGGCCCAGGCCCTCCAGGTCCAACGCCCTCTTCCCACCCTGCCGCTGGTTGGCCAGCGTGGCCTCTGCAAGCGTCTGCCGCAGAGAGGCAGTGGTACCAGCCATAGCCAAGGCTCTGGTGCCCCGACGAGGTCGATCCATCATGGCTGGCTGCTCCAAGCCTGGAATGTTGAGGGTGTTTTCCTCTTCTTCTTCATCCTCCTCCTCATCTTCCTCTTCACTACTTTGCCCCAATATGTCACCCCTCTTCAAATCTTCCACATCCTCTTCTCCATCTGTATCATCGTTCTCCACTTCATTATCCTCATCGCCCTCTGAATCTTGCTGGTTGTTACGGCAGCGGCCAAACATGGTGGAAGTCTCTGTAGAAGTGGCCGATTTGCCCTCTGATCCCTTTGAGACGTTAAGAGTCTGGTTATTAAGGTTGACTTCGACAATGATCTGATCTCTGTTGAAGGAGGCGTGGCCATCTGCTGTCTTTGACTCCTCTCCATTTCCTTCCACTTTACACAAACTAGCCACACCTGTGCCGGCCCCGCTTCCCGAGCCTTCTTCCTTCTGGTAGTACTGCTTTGCCTGAGAAGCCGTCTTGCCTGTCTCTTCTACTCTGACAGAAAAAGGGCTGTTTCCTTCTCTTGTGTACACCCTGCCGAGCTCTGACTCCTGTTTGATCTCACGGTACATCTGGCTGGGGGGCATCGCTACAGAAGCTGGCTCACTGCTGGCATGCCCTTCTTGATTGGCCATATCTGTGCAGGTGGTTCTCAGCGAGTGGCTGCTGATAAGGTCGTGACAGGAGGCTGCGATGTCGCTCATCTGAAGCAGGGTAGCGGCGTTGAGCACGTCGCGGACAGTGCGGCTGCTCACCAGCAGTTTGGAGGTGTAAATGAAGTTGAGGATTTGCTGAAGGCCCTGAGAGGTCAGGGCATCCAGCGACAGGTCCACCCGCCGCAGCTGTTTGCTTTGGGCAAAAAGCGAGTGGAAGAAAGGGCTGTAAGCTGCCAGCACACCCTTGTGGGCCGGAAAGGTGCTGTGCTGACGCACAAGAACAATGTCAACGTCACACAGGTCAGGCTGGAAGAGGCGCTGCTCATTCAGCCTGTCCATCAAACAGGTAAAGTGCAGAGCCACATCCTCCACTAGAGAGAACTCAGCAGAGGGGAAGTCTGTTGTTTTCTCCACTATGAGCTGTAAGAGAAAGTGAAAGGAAGAAGTGAGACAGAAAAAAGTGTCATAATCATTCAAAAGCCAATAAATATTATAGTAAAGAAGCTCTTTAAACTTCACCATCAAAACTACCACGACAGTGTCCCCTTCAGTTACTGTTCTGGAGCTTTTCATCATAATACATTACCTTAATCTGAGTGAGTCTGCTCAGTTAACATACAATTGTGGATTTAAGCCAAGAAGGACAAGTCCTTTAAGTGCCCAGGTTTCCTTGTGCAAATATGCTGAGTTGTGTTCGCTAAGGTAACTTCAGAAAGGCTGCTGGATTGCTCAGTGGTGTGGAGAAACCCCGTGAGGCCTCTGTAACTTAGGCTGGCTCAATAGGGATTTGTGTTTTCATAAAACCTCTTTTGACAGACAGTTTCTCCTTTTAAAGGATCAATACGAGCATCTCCTCACCCGCAGAACTCAAAGTCAATCATTAATGGGATCGTTTAAAACTCAAGGTTGAGACAGTTTTTGAAATGTAGCTATAGGTCACTTCATCAGTTCATCGGGTGTATTTTCTTATTGAGTTGTAAAAACATATACAAACATACAGGGCAAATGATCTGAGCAGATAAATGCTCTTGTATTTGGTACTGGTAGATGTTTTAAATGTAGATAAACCATAATAAATGGACGTTTTTGGCCAAATGATCTCTCTCAAAATAAGAAGAAATGTAACAAGAGCTACAATTATGCTGAAATAAACTTTTATGTTTTTACTGTGACGTATGGCACAAATTCACCCGCCGCATCTAAGAAGCAAGACACAAGTCAGTGAAAAATCAAAAGGTGTAACACTCAGCGCTCTGTGCAAGGTCCTCAACTTCCCAAGGTGGGTTTATTTTAGCACAGGAAGGGCAGGGTTTCGATCCAGACGGGATGTGAGTGGGGACAGAACAGCAAACACCGCGCGCACACTCTAACACACACGGATATGTGATGTGCATCCATGCAAAGACAGCAGAAATGCACGCGCACACACAGCCGAACACAACAAACACAAACAGAGTGTCTGGCCTCTTCTGCAAGGACTGACTGCTCTGTGCATTGGTATTCAATGCCATTTCCCCCCTATTAGCCGGCTCTCTCAGCACACCCACTCACAACACTGTCCCAGAGGAATGACGAATTATGCACACGACAAAACACGTCCGGAGAAATAATTAGGGAAACCATGCTGAATAAATACTAACTAACCCTCCAAACAATTAATGGAAATTATAATTCAGGGCACCTTTTGAAGGTAGAATAGGATAAGTATTGATACTTGTTTTGGTTAACACACTGCCAGAGACGATACAGCGGCAAGCCCTAATTACACTTCTACACCTCTTATTTTTGAGTATTATCAGCTGAATGTGCAGGGCGAAACATGTAACAAAGAAAAGATAGAAATAAATTTTATTCATAATGCATTTCATTGTCAGACAATAACAACTATGGTATTTAAGTAACAGACAGACTTTTAATGGGCATGAATCACACTTCATGTCTCCTACAATGTTTGTGCGTCTCCTTTATTGTAAAAATATATCTAAGTACTTTGTTTTCCTTGCTTCACGACATATTTTATTCCTAAGATCATTGAAAATGACTTTTCATTGTGCAGCCTGAAAAATGGATTTGCATTGGGGCCTAACCTTGAAAATCTGCTCTGTTTGAAGAATTCAATTATGGAGTGTTAGATTTATTCATAGTTTTGAGCTGCTAAATTGGACTCTGAGCTAGAGGAGAGGAGATCGGGTTATCTCTCTCCATGCAAGGCTACAGACATCGCCCAAGGGCAAAACGCAGCAGCCTTAATCAGATCAAGTATAAGTTGCAGACTGGAAGTTATGTTCCTATGGTGATAACGATCTGCTTCTTCTTCTGGGATTCAAACAGGACAATGTGGTCAAAGATTAAATTCTAGAAGAGGAGCACCAATACATTCAAATGCATCCACGACTGAAAATAAAAGAACCAACGGCATCTTTTAATTTAAAGATTGCGTTTATTCTCTATAACTATATTTTGAATTATAAGGCAGAACATACCGTTTTCCACATTGGCTCACAAAAACAAGATTCTAAGTGAGTGTACGACCGCTTAGGTTTGTTACCTAGAATGTGCACTTGCTTTAAAATGTTGAATGAGATATTATGGACTAATGTGTGCATTTTATTTATACTTACACTCATCTGGCTAAAAATGTGGCCGTCAGTATAGCAGAAGACCAAGCTACTCTTTTAAGGTCTGTGGTCCATCTTTAAGTAGCCTCCAAATGTACATTTAAGGTTTGATTGTACTGCCAGTGCAATAAAAAACACACAATGCAACATGATCAGGCATGGATTGACCTCCCCAGAGCTCTGATCTCAACATTATTGAAGCAGTGTAGGATCATTTTGACAGGAGTCAGGAGAAAAGGCAGCCAACAGAAGAAGAAGAGCTTAGAAAGCTGTCAGTAAAAATCTGAATAAGTTCATTCCTGGAACTACTTAAAGAAATGACAACAAAGATTCCCTAACAGAGTTCAGGCTGTGTTGAAGAATAAAGGTGGTCTGACCAAATGTTGATTCACCATCTCTGTTTTCTTTAAGCACTGAGCTGCTGCACGTTTACAACACCTCCTCAACTTCCTATCATATTCTATTAGTAATAAAAGGAAACCTTAACAGCAGTAATTATGGCAGCAGGTCAGCCCAGGTGGGAGGTAACAAAGCACCATGGAGATTTGTTTCACTGCTTTCATAACCGTTAATCCCAAAACAAAACACTAGAAAGTCAAAAAGAGATCCTAGCCAACTCAAGGAGTTGGTATAATTTACCTAGCTAGCTACTAGTGATAAAGTCTTTCAACTGTAGTAACTGGTTGTGCATAACTTCATCATTCTGCAGGTGGATGTCTACATGTTTTATTAAAAGGTTTAAATTGGTGAACAAATCCATTATTTTTATCTTGACAGACGCTTTTAAATTATTTAATCCATCTGCCAATAGCTGTAGTTACGACACGACTGCCGTGGATGTCACACCGTGTGCCAAAGACAAAGTTATCTGTCACATTTCAACACACTGTATCCAAACAAATTCACTGAGTGCTTTGAATTGAAAGACTCATCTGACTCCCCTGATCCCTGTCTGCCATTATCTCCCTCGCTCACCCCCCCTTTTCTCTCCGTCTCACTCCTTTCCTTGGAAATGTCAGTGAGAGAGCTTGTTTGCTGTCATTAGAGAGAGTGCCACCTTTAACCAGCCTCTCAGTCAGATGTCTCCCAATACATTATTCATATGTGGCCTGACCTGCGAAAAACACACCGCCAGGGGGATTTACTGACGCGCCCAACACGAGGCGTCATTTAAACCGGCTTCAATCAAAGCTCTGCGCACCCTTTACACGCAGCTTATTTCATCTTCTGCCAAACACAACAATCTGAGAGGATCCTTTTGCACTGTAGAGGTCTTTGCACAGGGGTGGACTTTTCATGTTCCCCGGGGGCCACATGAGAAACTGGCACTGTTGTGGAGGGCCGCATCAATAAGCTTAAAAAGACAGTATTAATAATGAGTTTAGCTCATTGATGCACACCTCCACAACATTCCTAGTCTCTCATGTGGCCCCTTGGGAAAATTATTATCCCACCCATGCCTTAGCAGGTCTGTCTTTTGCAAGGTAGCTCTCAGGACTGATGCATTTTAGTCCCATAGAAGCAATAAAGCATGTTTTTTGTTGTTGGCATAGGTTAATAAGGTAACACTCCATCCACTGAAGACTTACTTGGGATATTTAACTCAACCCCAGCTGTACTGTTATTGTACACATATTATTTCACAGTACTTCCCATTTAAACATTACACTAATTGACCTGATGGAGGATTTAGAATGACTGTAAATGTCAAAATCTGAAAGGCAACAAATTATACAAATCCACAGCCAGCTACTGTTTAATGGTCATAATGGGATGCTGTATTAAAGAAAACATAATTCACCCAAGTATGTGTGCATGTGTCAAACTGCCAGTAGCAATGCTTTAATAGAAACTGGTGGTTTTAAACGTCTTTATCATTAATCTAATTTTGGGTCAGTCAAAGTGATTAAAAAAAATCAGAAGTGTTGAATCCTCACCCGGCTCAGCCACGTCAGAGCCGATGGTCTGCTCTTGGCAGCGCCTCGGCAGCTGGACCTGAGCCAGACAGAGCTGAGCGTGAGGATGAAACACTTCTTTCTAATCTGACTTTCTCTGGTGAGAATGCTCTTTCTCTCCCACACCTTTTCACGGATAGTCTGGGTGGATTTACTGCTCTATAAAGTCTCGATCACTGCGCGGTCTGACTACAGGCTGCGACTGCTCCGTGACCTCTGCAGAGCTGCCATTTTAAAGGTTCCCCAGTCCGATTCAGGCAACGCAGATGATGTTTATCTGTTAAAAACGATCGCGAGGCCACTAGCAGGGGGAGCGCATGCATGTCTTAATCCGTATCCCCAGTAAAACTCAGTGTTGTTCACACCTTTTAACATTTTTGGTTGTGTTAAAACAAAGCAGAGACATGTACATTCCTCAAGAAAACCACACAATTCAGTCAGTGTTTTGCACACACACCTTGAATTACGAGGAGAGAGGCAAACAACATCTACCCTGGCTGTCTTGTTTGCTTGCTGACCGGTGAGCCATTAGCAGGGGCCAATGTCAAAGCATAGCACCGAGTCACGGATGCATCAATAGTGCGAGGGAGGGCAGGTTGTATTCAGGCAGGAGGGAGTCCCAGGGGGAAAACACTGCAGGGGGTTAAAGCTTTCTCTCAGTCTGCCCACAGACTGCTTCGACTGAACTCAGTGTCCTCTTACATCAGCTTCTTCATCGTTTCAAAAGGGACTAGTCTGGCTAGAGCCGGCTAGAGCAAAAATTACCACTACTGTGTATCTGTTTATCTGTTATTGTATTATCTTACTGAATACCTGCTTCACCAGTTAAATCACAACCATGTCTGAG